CACGCATGAACCGGAGGATTGACGTCGCTGAAATTCCATTCGTAGGCAGGGAGCTGCCCGTTGGGGTGCATATACCATTCTCGCAGGAAGAGAATGGCTTGTTCTTTTGCAAAATATGGATCTAATTTGGCGAAGGGAATTAAGTGGAACGCTGAATCCCACGCAGCGTACCAAGGGTATTCCCACTTGTCTGGCATCGAAATGATGTTGCGGTTGTAGAGATGTCCCCAGTCGGCGTTTCGCGGACTAGGTGCACCGGGGGTGGGGACATCTTGTCCCTTCTTGGGGTTCCCTTTGTTTTCAAGCCATCGTGGAATGACGTAGTGATAGAACTGTTTGGTCCAGAGAAGACCAGCGTCCGCCTGCCGCAACACGGTTTGTTCATCGGTCGTCAGCCCAGGGGCGACACGCGATTTGGCATACGCATCTGCCTCGCTAATTCGAGTGGCGAAAGCTTCATTAAAGCGATCGTCGAACGGCTTTTCGGGAAGGTCACTTTCTGGACAAAGTCGCAAACGAAATTCAACGGACTCGCCAGCCACGACGGTTACTCGAAAATGAGAAGCCGCTTTGGTGCCAACGCGATTGGGGTTCACGACCCCATTCATTCCTTGCACAACCGATAAGTGAAACGCATCTTTGCACGAAGGTCGACGACTATTGTGATCTTCAAATCGCCATGTGTTCGTTTCGTTTTCGGTAAATAACCATGGCGGCTGTTCCCCTTCCGGGCCACGATCGACGTAAATGCGATAGTTGCCGAGCGTTTCATGCTTTACGGCAACTTCGTCGTCGGCGACTTGCGTAAGAGTCGGCTTTACGTCTGGCTTCTCGAGTGTTGGTCCCCAAGCCCACGTATTTCGAAACCACCATGTTGGCAACAAGTGCACGGCAGCGTCTTCGGGGCCTCGGTTGAAAATGGTGATCCGAATGAGCAGATCTTCGGGGGACGCCTTGGCATATTCTGCTTGTACGTCGAAGTAGCGACCTTCATCAAAGATGCATGTGTCGGTCAGCTCGAACTCTGGTTCGTGGCGATTTCGGCGCGCGTTCTCGCTGCGCAGATGTTCGTAAGGGAATTCGGCTTGAGGGTACTTATAAAGTGCCTTCAGGTACGAGTGCGTGGGAGTCGAATCAAGGTAATAGTACGCCTCTTTGACATCTTCTCCATGGTTTCCTTCCGGTCCTGTCAGTCCGAAAAGACGCTCTTTCAGAATCGGGTCCTTTTCATTCCATAGTGCGAGCCCGAAACAAAGTCGGCATTGTCGGTCACAGATTCCCAGCAGGCCATCTTCGCCCCAACGGTACGTTCTCCAAGTGGCTTCTTCGTGGGTGAAGTTAAGCCATGGATCTCCTTCGGCCGTGCTCTCTCGAACGGTTCCCCATTGACGCTCGGCAAGGTAGGGCCCCCAGCGACGCCAATTTGCTCCTGGTTCCCGTTCTGCTTCCGCTGATAACCGATCCCACTCCGCTTCCGGCATATGCTCCCATGTTCCTACGCAGGCATGACGTATGTGCCCACAAAAAATGCTACTCGTGCGCGCGAATCAAGCGAGTTGCCGTCTTCCTGACAGAAACTGACGCTATCTACCTATTTCGCCCTTTGTTATGCGAATTCTATTCCTATTTTTAGCGAAGGAATCAGGTTTACGTAATGCCGTAGAGATTACCACCCAACCGGCAAGAAGCTGTCGAAGAAAAGAGTTCGCACGTCTTCGAGTGGCGAAACACCAAAACGCAAGTGCAGCAAAGCTTCCTAATCGTTCGCTTTGAGTTGCAAGGCAGCTTCATGGAGGAGGCCGCCGATCGCTTCTCTTAATTTTGGCGTAAGGGACTGGACGCCGTCTAAACGCTGATCATGGGCTGCGTTTTGAATATCGCTGGCGAGTGTCCCCGCTTCGGTGGGGCCAATGATTCTCAGCGAACCAACGATGGTATGGGCCGCCCTGTAGATAGCCTCGAAGTCTTCCGTTTCGATGGCTTGGTCAAGACGATCTAGCAACGTTGGAGTTTCTTCCAGGAAAAGACCAAGCAAATCAACGAATAATTCTTTGTCCCCGTCGCACGCTTTGAGTGCATGTGACCAATCCATGGTGCTTTCAGCCACCTCGGCTGAAATATCTTGCGAGGACTCCGTTTTACCAGAAGTACTGAACAATTCTGAAAGGGACTGGTGTAACTCTTGAATGCGGAGTGGCTTTGACGTGTAGCCATCCATCCCGGACTCCAGACACTTTTCGCGATCACCAGCTAACGCGTGGGCGGTCATCGCGATAATGGGGATATGATTGCTGGTCGCTTTTTCTTCAGCACGAATGATTCTCGTCGCGTGAAGGCCATCCATCTCCGGCATCTGGACATCCATAATGATCAAATCAAAGGATTGACGCCGCCAAAGCTCGACAGCTTCCTTCCCGTTTTCCGCCAACGTGACCGTGTGTCCCCATTTCTCCAGCAATGCGATCGCCAGACGTTGGTTCGCTCGATTATCCTCAGCCAACAATACGTTTAGCGGTCCTATATTGCTCGAGCGGTCGAGTGACTTTGATTCATTTTCGTCTTCCGGAGCGACTACGCCTAACGCGACGATAATCGAATCAAAAAGCTCCGACTGCTTAGCAGGTTTCATCAGGAAAGACTGAACCTGAAGTTCATCGCAGCGAGATCTTGTCGTAGGGCGTTCCGACGAACTGAGCACGATGACGAGCGTGTCTTCCAGGTTGGGAATGTCTCGCACGGCTGCCACAAGATCGAGGCCATCTTTCCCGGGCATTTCCACATCGGTGAGTAGAAGTGCAAAACGGTCCCCTACCGA